CAGGAGTCTTCATTTCTGCGGAAGTTCCTGTGGCCCCTCGTCCTCGCTGGAGCCCTGATCATGCCCAAGCACACACCGCCTGTGCCAATGCGCCCCCACCTGCCACCCACATGCCTCCCACCTCCCGGCTGCCCTGGGAAGCCTCTCCCTCACACCTCTAGCTCCTGTCCACCCCATGGGGTCCCTGCACTGAGTCTCCCTTCCAGCATCCAGAACATTCCACAGCACTGTGGATCTGCCTACCTGTCCATCTCCCCGGTACAAGCACAGGGCAAGGTATGCAGTAGGCACTCAATACTTGCTCGCTGCGTGAACACAAGAAGGAGCAGGTCCTGAGCCCCACCCCAGGCAGCTGTGGCCTCTGCCTCTCTGGCTCAGAGTGGCTGCTTCAGACGAGGAGGAACGAGACCCGGGAGACCCTGGTGTGCTGGGCTGCGGGGCCCCAGTGAACGTGGGGGGCGGCAGCCTCAGAAGCAACTGCCTGCTCAGTACTCACTCCCCACACAGAGCGGCAGTGGCAGCCAGGTGCACCCCTCGGCTCCTGGGGTCCAGGCTAGATGCCTGCTCATGGGGATTTCGAAGCTGGCCGCCCCACGGGAAAGTGCTGCTCCCCGGACTCGGGCCGTGGGCTCCTACGCGCTGTTCCCCGGACTCCGGCCGTGGGCTCCTACGCGCTGTTCCCTGGACTCGCGCTGTGGGCTCCTACGCGCTGTTCCCTGGACTCGCGCTGTGGGCTCCTACACGCTGTTCCCCGGACTCCGGCCGTGGGCTCCTACGCGCTGTTCCCCGGACTCCGGCCGTGGGCTCCTACGCGCTGTTCCCCGGACTCCGGCCGTGGGCTCCTACGCGCTGTTCCCCGGACTCCGGCCGTGGGCTCCTACGCGCTGCTCCCCGGACTCCGGCCGTGGGCTCCTACGCGCTGTTCCCTGGACTCGCGCTGTGGGCTCCTACACGCTGTTCCCCGGACTCCGGCCGTGGGCTCCTACGCGCTGCTCCCCGGACTCGGGCCGTGGGCTCCTACGCGCTGTTCCCTGGACTCGCGCTGTGGGCTCCTACACGCTGTTCCCCGGACTCCGGCCGTGGGCTCCTACACGCTGTTCCCCGGACTCCGGCCGTGGGCTCCTACGCGCTGTTCCCCGGACTCCGGCCGTGGGCTCCTACGCGCTGTTCCCCGGACTCCGGCCGTGGGCTCCTACGCGCTGCTCCCCGGACTCCGGCCGTGGGCTCCTACGCGCTGTTCCCTGGACTCGCGCTGTGGGCTCCTACGCGCTGTTCCCCGGACTCCGGCCGTGGGCTCCTACGCGCTGCTCCCCGGACTCCGGCCGTGGGCTCCTACGCGCTGTTCCCCGGACTCCGGCCGTGGGCTCCTACGCGCTGTTCCCCGGACTCCGGCCGTGGGCTCCTACGCGCTGCTCCCCGGACTCCGGCCGTGGGCTCCTACGCGCTGTTCCCCGGACTCCGGCCGTGGGCTCCTACGCGCTGTTCCCCGGACTCGGGCCGTGGGCTCCTACGCGCTGCTCCCCGGACTCGGGCCGTGGGCTCCTACGCGCTGTTCCCTGGACTCCGGGCTTCTATGCCGGCTTGACCTTCCACCCACCTGCACTCCAAGCCCCCTTCACCTCTGGAGGGTCCCTTGCTCCCTTTCCAGGCCCTCCTTCTGTCCTGGGCCCAAGGGGACTCCACGCCCATGCCTCCAAGAGGGGAACCCTGGGACAACCTCTGCCAACAGAAGGCCCAGCCTCCCTCCTCCACCTCTCTCCCTCAGCCGCCCCCTGCACTGGCCTCCCGTGCCCCGCTTCCCTGACCCCCTGCACCCCTCACCTCCTTCCCCCAGTTGCTCCCCACCTCCCCCATCTCCCTCCCCTGGTCTCCCCTACCCCGGTCACCCCCCATCTCCCCCTGCCTCCCCCACCTCCCCTCCCCCCCCATCTCCCAGGATGAGGGCTTAGGACAGAAGGAGGAGCAGAGGTTTGGCCACCAGCAGGTGGACTTAGGTCGGCAAATGGGGCATAGATCACTCCTTGGGGGAAGTGGCCACTGTCCTGCAGTCACCTATACTCAGGTAAATTCGGAGAGCAGACTCAGTGTGAAAGTCCGGAAGCACAGTGCACCTGGGTGCGGCCTGCGGGAGGGTCACCTGCATGCACCAGACCCAACCTTTGAGAGGAAGTCCAGCCAGGGCCCATGGCGTGTGGGCAGGGGCATGCATGGGCAAGCCCTCCTGGGGGCTTTATAGAAGGACAGCAGCACAGCTGGCGGTACCACGAGTGCCCTGGGACAAGGAGCCACCTGCGCCTGAGGGGAAGGCCCACAGCCCCCTGCACCTGCCCGGCGGAAACAAGGCCGGCCCACAGGTTCTTTGCTGTTCTGCTTTTATTTTTATTTTATTTTTTAATTTTACTTTAGGTGCATAGTATCTCTGGCATTTCTCCCCATGTTATCCCTCCCCAACCCCCGCTGTCTCTCCCCTACCCCCCTAACTTCCCTCAGTGTGTGACGCTCCCCTCCCTGAGTCCATGTGCTCTCACTGTTCAACACCCGCCTATGAGTGAGAACATGCGTTTGATTTTCTGTTCTTGTGTCAGTTTGCTGAGAATGATGGTTTTCAGATTCATCCAAGTCCCTACAAAGGACACGAACTCATCATTTTTGATTGCTGCATAATATTCCATGGTGTATATGTGCCACATTTTCCCTGTCCAGTCTATCATCGATGGGCATTTGGGTTGGTTCCAGGTCTTTGCTATTGTAAACAGTGCTGCAATGAACATTCGTGTACATGTGTCCTTATAGTAGAACGACTTATAGTCTTTTGGATATATACCCAGTAATGGGATTGCTGGGTCAAATGGAATTTCTATTTCTAAGGCCTTGAGGAATCGCCACACTGTCTTCCACAATGGTTGAACTAATCTACACTCCCACCAACAGTGTAAAAGTGTTCCTATTTCTCCACATCCTCTCCAGCATCTGTTGTCTCCAGATTTTTAAATGATCGCCATTCTAGCTGGCGTGAGATGGTATCTCAATGTGGTTTTGATTTGCATTTCTCTAATGACCAGTGGTGATGAGCATTTTTTCATATGTTTGATGGCCTCATGTATGTCTTCTTTTGTAAAGCGTCTGTTCATATCCTTTGCCCAATTTTGAATGGGGTTGTTTCTTCCTGTATATCTGTGTTAGTCCTTTGTAGATTCTGGATATCAGCCCTTTGTCACATGGGTAAACTGCAAAACTTTTTTCCTATTCTGTTGGTTGCCGGTTCGCTCTACTGATGGTTTCTCTTGCTGTACAGAAGCTCTGAAGTTTAATTACATCCCATTTGTCTACCTTGGCTTTTATTGACATTGCTTTTGGTGTGAGTGTAGCCTCACAGAGACAACTGCTTAGAAAAGGAAAACAAGGTCACCAAATCCTGTGGCCCATGGGAAGGCGCGCTGTGCCCAAGTGGCCTCTTGGCGCCAGGACACTCCCTCCAAGTTGCCCCCCGGCCCTAGGTCTTCAGGTGAGGGGAGAGTCCCTGACTCTAGCGTGGGGGGAGGATTTCCGAGCCTCCCTTCCTCTGGTTTGCTGACTTTGGGAGAGATGCCAGCTCTATGAGGTCGGGGGAGTACAGGACAGGATCAGGCCAGGCGCAGAGCTGTGGGAGGGGCTCCAGGGAGCAGTGTCGGCAGGTCCGAGGCCACGCTGGAGCCCTCCCTGAGGAGATGGCACCCAGGACACTTCCCTCAAGGCCACCTGGCTGCTGGCCTAGCTGAGCAGGCAGCCTGGCCCAGGGGTCTGGACTCGCCCCAGCAGCAGTCCCCTGGCTTGCCACTCCTACATGGGCGTTCGATGCAACTCAGGGTGAAGTGCCTCTGTCCCCCGCAAGCCCAGCTGAGGGACCCAGCCCACTGCACCGCCATTGCTCCACCTGCTCCCACCGCTCACCCCCATTTCCCACGGGAGGGGGTGTACATGTTCAACTCCCGAATGTGGCACTGCCACGTGTGCCTGTGCCCAGGGTCCCTGGGGTCCTCAGCACGGTCTCAGTGAGGTCTCTCCATGGCCTGAGTCTGGACCAGTCCTGGCCTCTGTGCCCACCCACACTTCTTGACCACCTCCTGACGTCCACATCTCCACAGGACATCTCTCCCGAGGGCTCCTGTCCCCGGCTCTGCCCAGTCCAACACAGCAGGCTGCTGCCCACTGGACGCCCTCCTGGCTGCAAAGCTTCATTAAGTTCTCTGTGGCCCACTCACTCCTCTGCACCCGGGACCACCTGCCTGGCAGGGGGATGGGGAATCCCATCTAGAGACAGGGTTTGGCTGGGCAGCATGGGCCAAGCCCCAGAACCCCTGGGCTCCAACCTTGGCCCCAGGCAGCTCAGAGATGCTGAGCAGGTGAACCCGCCTCCCACCTGGGTGAATTTCAGGCCTAAGTTTCGGTACACTGCCCTCATGTCTTAGAGCCTACCCCAAGGCCGTGCAGGCTGCCTGGAGGTCCCCTTTCCACCCGACGGGCCCCCGCTGGTAGGAAGGCTCCACACAGGCATCCCCACCAGCCAGGCCGACTGCCCCCACCTGCCCTTCACCCAATGCACGTCACCTCCCCAGCAGCCCCCAAATTATTCAAACAAGCCAATCACATCCTCCTGAGGGACCCGGGGGTTACCTCGTCCTCTTGTGACCACCAAGTCCACCTCCCACAGCCCCTGCGTGGCCACTCCATGCCGGGTGTGACCCCATGTGACCTTCATGGTCTCCTGTGACTAATGAGACGTCGTGCATCTCACCTGTCCAGTGGCAGAGCCTCCCTCACCAGCAAAGTGACAGGGGCACTCAGGACACGTGGCCCCTGATCTGCTGAGGGCCAACAGCTGGCCTGCCTGACCGACCTGGGGCAGCGGACAGCCATGGTGGGGTGCAGGCACTGAGGACCAGCCCCACCCGGGCCCTGGCACCGTCAGCTCTGCCGATCCGCAGGTTCCTGCAGAGGCCGCGGGTGCAGGGGGCACTCACCACACGATGGCCAGCCTGGGGATGCTGAACATGAGGGCCGGCTCGTAGTCATCAATCATGTCCTGGGTCAGGTACCCGAAGTCCAGTGCCCTGTCCAGGGAGGGGGACAGTGAGCAGGGTGAGGGCACAGGCAAGACCCCAGCAGGGATGGACACCGCATCAGGATGCCACCCCAGTCCTCATGTGTGAAGGGGCTGGGGCAGGAGGAAAAGGCCTCGCTCTTCCTGGAATGCCATGGGGGGGGCTCAAGCTTAACCTTTCCATCTGCCAGTTCCACCTCCACCCCAGGAGACAGGGGCAGGGAGTGTGTGTGAGGGGGCGTGGAGGCTGTGTGAGGGGGCGTGGAGGCTGTGAGGGGGCGGGGAGGGTGTGTGAGGAGGTGGGAGGCTGTGCGGGGGCGTGGAGTGTGTGTGAGGGGGCGTGGAGGGTGTGTGAGGGGGCGTGGAGGGTGTGTGAGGGGGCGTGGAGTGTATGTGAGGGGGCGTGGAGTGTGTGTGAGGGGGCGTGGAGGCTGTGAGGGGGCGGGGAGGGTGTGTGAGGGGGCGGGGAGGGTGTGCGGGGGCGTGGAGTGTGTGTGAGGGGGCGTGGAGGGTGTGTGAGGGGGCGTGGAGGCTGTGAGGGGGCGTGGAGTGTGTGTGAGGGGGCGTGGAGGCTGTGAGGGGGCGGGGAGGGTGTGTGAGGGGGCGTGGAGGCTGTGAGGGGGCGGGGAGTGTGTGTGAGGGGGCGTGGAGGGTGTGTGAGGGGGCGTGGAGTGTGTGTGAGGGGGCGGGGAGGGTGTGTGAGGAGGTGAGGAGGCTGTGCGGGGGCGGGGAGTGTGTGTGAGGGGGCGTGGAGGGTGTGTGAGGGGGCATGGAGTGTGTGTGAGGGGGCGTGGAGGCTGTGAGGGGGCGGGGAGGGTGTGTGAGGGGGCGGGGAGGGTGTGTGAGGAGGTGAGGCTGTGCGGGGGCGTGGAGTGTGTGTGAGGGGGCGTGGAGGGTGTGTGAGGGGGCGTGGAGTGTGTGTGAGGGGGCGTGGAGTGTGTGTGAGGGGGCGTGGAGGCTGTGAGGGGGCGGGGAGGGTGTGTGAGGAGGTGGGGAGGGTGTGCGGGGGCGGGGAGTGTGTGTGGGGGCGGGGAGGGTGTGTGGGGGGCGGCGAGGGTGTGTGAGGGGGAGGGGAGGGTGTGTGAGGGGGCGGGGAGGGTGTGAAGGGGCGGGGAGGGTGTGTGAGGGGGTGGGGAGGGTGTGTGATGGGGCGGGGAGGCTGTGCGGGGCAGGGAGGGTGCGTGACCCAGCTGGGATGCTCAGCAATGCAGAGCAAGGCCACCCAGAGGACAGCTCTGCTCAGCCAAGGAACCGAAACAAGCCAATGTCAAGAATGAACATGGAACAAAACACTGCCCGGAACAATTCAGTGTGTCCCATTTCTCCCCCAGGGCTTGCAGAGGACTTTCTCTGCACCTGGTGAGCAGGCATGCTGGCATCCGGACTTTTCAAAAGAAAAGCAACTTCCCATCATCGTATTTTCTGATAATCTGAAATATCTCTCAAAGCATAAATAGTAAACATTTGCTTTGTAAAAAAGTAACAAACATACGATGTGATATTAGTTAATTTCAAATCTCACAAACACCACAGAACCACTGGAAAAAGAGCAACTTCAAGGTTAAATCTTAGCCCCAAAGTGCGTTCAGAACAGCAGACTCCAATGACTGTAGAAGGGCAGATCAGAGTATAAATGACGTGCCCGCAGCCTTCCCACCACAAAACCACCTGCTCAGCAGACTCAACCCAGCAAAAACTCAATCCTGGCCTGGGGAGGTGAGTGAGGAGGTGAGGAGTGAGGAGGTGAGGAGTGAGGAGTGAGGAGGTGAGGAGGTGAGGAGTGAGGAGTGAGGAGTGAGGAGGTGAGGAGTGAGGAGTGAGGAGGTGAGGAGGTGAGGAGTGAGGAGTGAGGAGGTGAGGAGTGAGGAGTGAGGAGGTGAGGAGTGAGGAGGTGAGGAGTGAGGAGGTGAGGAGTGAGGAGGTGAGGAGTGAGGAGTGAGGAGGTGAGGAGGTGAGGAGTGAGGAGTGAGGAGGTGAGGAGTGAGGAGGTGAGGAGTGAGGAGGTGAGGAGTGAGGAGGTGAGGAGTGAGGAGTGAGGAGTGAGGAGGTGAGGAGTGAGGGGTGAGGGGTGAGGAGTGAAGGTGAGGAGATGAGTGAGGAGGTGAGGAGTGAGGAGAGAGGAGGTGAGGAGAGAGGAGGTGAGGAGTGAGGAGTGAGGAGGTGAGGAGGTGAGGAGTGAGGAGTGAGGAGGTGAGAAGTGAGGACGTGAGGAGTGAGGAGTGAGGAGGTGAGGAGGTGAGGAGTGAGGAGGTGAGGAGTGAGGAGGTGAGGAGTGAGGAGTGAGGAGGTGAGGAGTGAGGAGGTGAGGAGTGAGGAGGTGAGGAGGTGAGGAGTGAGGAGGTGAGGAGGTGAGGAGTGAGGAGGTGAGGAGTGAGGAGGTGAGGAGTGAGGAGGTGAGGAGTGAGGAGTGAGGAGTGAGGAGGTGAGGAGTGAGGGGTGAGGGGTGAGGAGTGAAGGTGAGGAGATGAGTGAGGAGGTGAGGAGTGAGGAGAGAGGAGGTGAGGAGTGAGGAGTGAGGAGGTGAGGAGGTGAGGAGTGAGGAGTGAGGAGGTGAGGAGTGAGGAGTGAGGAGGTGAGGAGTGAGGAGGTGAGGAGGTGAGGAGTGAGGAGGTGAGGAGTGAGGAGGTGAGGAGGTGAGGAGTGAGGAGGTGAGGAGTGAGGAGTGAGGAGGTGAGGAGGTGAGGAGTGAGGAGGTGAGGAGTGAGGAGTGAGGAGAGAGGAGGTGAGGAGTGAGGAGTGAGGAGGTGAGGAGTGAGGAGGTGAGGAGTGAGGAGTGAGGAGTGAGGAGGTGAGGAGTGAGGAGTGAGGAGGTGAGGAGGTGAGGAGTGAGGAGGTGAGGAGTGAGGAGTGAGGAGGTGAGGAGTGAGGAGTGAGGAGAGAGGAGGTGAGGAGTGAGGAGGTGAGGAGTGAGGAGTGAGGAGGTGAGGAGTGAGGGGTGAGGGGTGAGGAGTGAAGGTGAGGAGATGAGTGAGGGGTGAGGGGTGAGGAGTGAGGAGGTGAGGAGTGAGGAGGTGAGGAGGTGAGGAGTGAGGACTGAGGAGTGAAGAGATGAGGAAGCGAGGAGAACCTCCTCACCTTCTTCTTTGAGGAGAACGGTAATGTGTTGGAAGGCACAGCTGGGGCACTACGGAGACACAGCAAGTTCCCCCAAAGCTGCCCTCAGCCCCAGGCCTGGGGTGTGGCAGGGACTCCCCAAACACCTCCCCCAGCCCCTAAGCCTCCCTGTCCTCACCTCTCCACTGTCTCGCAGAAGAGCACGATGACCTCCTGCTGCACATAGTACTCTCTGGGAGACTTCACGGGCACCATGGCCGAGACGTAGCTGCAACACAGGGAGACCTGTTAGGCCGCACATGGGTGGCGCAGGCCTCTCCAAAGCTGAGGGCTGGCATCTTCGATTAAAGCTGCCATACTGGGCAAGGTGGCGGGGACTGGGGGCTCGCGCCTGTAATCCCAGCACTTTGGGAGGCTGAGGTGGGAGGATTTCTTGAGCCCAGGAGTTAGAGGCTGCCGTGTATGGTGACTGCACCCCTGTACTCCAGGTTGAGTGACAAAGCAAGACCCTGTCTCTTAAAAATGCGTGGACACACACACACACCCGACACGAGCACCCCATGCCAGCAGTTTCATGGTACACAGCTCCTGCCAGCCAGGCCTAGTCCAGGGCTTCCCCCAAAACCCCAGCCCTGCCCATGGGGGATGGTTGTGCCAGTTCCCAGGGCTCACTCTGGAGCCTGTACCCCCTGGAGCCAGTGCTGCAGTGCTCACTCTGGAGCCTGTACCCCCTGGAGCCACTGCTGCAGTGCTCACTCTGGAGCCTGTACCCCCTGGAGCCACTGCTGCAGTGCTCACTCTGGAGCCTGTACCCCCTGGAGCCAGTGCTGCAGTCCTCACGCTGGAGCCTGTACCCCCTGGAGCCAGTGCTGCAGTGCTCACTCTGGAGCCAGTGCATGACCGTCCCCCAGCTTGGCACCAGCCTTAATAGGCAAAAGAGTAAATGAATGAATCCCTGTATGGTGGGTGAAGAACCCGAGCCCCACATGGGCAGGGTCATGCCGCGTGCACCTCCGAAGCCACAGAAGCCAGCCCAGGCTGGGTACAGGCTCTTGCAACAGGCCTGTGAGTGGCTGTGAGAGGTGACAGCTTGTCCAGCCCTTCCCCAGATGACGGCACTTTTCTTCCTCCTAAATCACTAACTCTAGGCTGGGTGAGGTGGCTCACGCACATGGGTGACCAACACTTTGGGAGGCCAAGGTGGCTCACGAGTTTCTGTCTCTACTAAAAATACAAAAAAATTAACTGGGTGAGGTGGCAGGTGCCTGTAATCCCAGCTACTTGGGAGGCTGAGGCAGGAGAATCGATTGGAACAGGAGAGGAAGGTCGCCGTGGATTGAGATCGCGCCACTGCACCCCCGCCTGGGTGACAGAGCGAGACTCCATCTCAGAAAACAAACAAAAATAAATAAATCATAAACTGTGAATTTTTTTCTTATGCAAGCTGGTTTACTAAACCTTGGGAAGACCAGAAGACAGAACTCGATGGTCCGCGCTCCGGCTTCCTGGAGAGGGCTGCCCTTCCTGCGCTGGTTGACCTCCTAGAGGCGGGTGGATTACAGCGGGAACCGTTTTTATTAACTGGACACCGTCTGCCTCCGTTTTTTCTCACCTCCTGGGCCATCTCCGTATCTTCAGAGGCATCTTTCATGCCCAGCCCCTTGGACCTCTCCAAAGCTCTTTTCCCCGGAGGCCCAGGGCGGCCAGACCCCAGCGGACCCCACGTGTGTACTCTCTGCTCACCCTACTCTCTGGAAAGATGCCCCCTCACCCCTACCCTGCACCCTACAGATGGCCCTGAACCCGCCTGGCTCCTCCCTCTGTGGAATTTTCTGGCTTGAAACACCAGGGTGAGCCTGGGAAGCTGGCACTGCCGTCCCCAACTCATCAGGCCAGGCCCAGGACCCCCAGCCGCAGTACCTCAGCTCGAACTCGGCGAACAGGACGTCGAAGTGCCTCAGCGCCTCCCGCATCTTCTCCGTGTAGGTGTTCAAGTCCCGCAGCGCCTGGTCGCGGAGCGCGCCCCGCACGTCCTCCAGGCTGCGCGTCAGCTCCTTGGCCAGCGGGCGCATGGCCATGCTCTCCAGCTCCCGGTTCATGATGATGGAGCCGGCGGCCAGGCACTGCGGGAGGGGACGCACTCAGGGACGGGTGTCTCGGGATGGCCGCCTGGGGAACCCCACTGTGCACCCCATCCCCCTCTTCTCACTCCCGAGCGCGGGCTGGCTCGTGTTCCTGGTCCGGTGGGAAGTTTTTCTCACATTCAGAGCAATCGTCAGGGCGATAACCAATGTCCCCCACTGTGACCAACAGGGTCCTCACAGGGCCCCAGTAGCAGGCAGGGAGGGGAGGGGGGGACTGAGGCCCTTGGGTGTGGGGGCTCCATGCAAGGGGAACCCTGGTCACATGACCCTTTCCAAGCTCCTCATCCAGGTCCGGACCACAGGGAGGAAGGTCGGGGAGCCTGGAGCTCTTCAGGTCTACACTGGCAGGGATGAAGCAGCCAGGCTGATCTGCCCTGAGGCTCCCAGTCTGCCTAGAGGCCCGCAGTCTGCCTAGAGGCCCGCAGTCTGCCTAGAGGCCCCCAGTCTGCCTAGAGGCCCGCAGTCTGCCTAGAGGCTCCCAGTCTGCCTAGAGGCCCCCAATCTACCTAGTGAGCCACAGACACTGCCTGTCAACTGGCTCACAGCCAGAGAAACGCAACCTTGCCCCAAATGGAGATTCCAGCCTTGCTCATGGGGGAGTCCTCCGGCTTCTAGGCAGGGAAGGAGGGCTCCTCCGCACCCACAAATCCGCCCACATCTGTCCTGGGCACTGCCAGGCAGCTTCCCGGCACATGCTCAGCAACTCAGATTTTCACCAAGCTGCTCTCTGGTGCGGGGGCTGAGTCCAGGCCCAGGTGACTCTATTGTCACAGGCAGGCTGGTGTTGGGGCTGGGGCCTCACCAAGTTTACAGTCGAACCAACCCGCCTCCCGTTCCCTCCCGTATGATCAAGACAAGCAACCATGTTCCAGGGAACAGAAGGAGACCGTGATTTCCCAGGCTAACACTGCAGCGGGCACAGAGCTTGGGGGCACCAGGACTACACAGGGAGCTGTGTTCTCTCCCATGCAGGCATGCCCCTGCCAGGCCAGCTGGGCACAGCACCCACTCCATCTCATGACTGCCCCAGGACCCACTCCACAGAGGTGGAAAGTGAGGCTGGAGAGGAGGGAGAACCTGCCCGCGGGCCCCTGTAACTAACCCAAGCCTCAGCAGAGGACACCCCAACCAGATGGCTCAGAGGGTGGGGTGGGCAGGGTGTCCACAGGTACGGGGCAGCAGGGGAATGAGGACCCCGCACTCCAGGGATTCCTAGAAAGGGGAAGTGAGGAGGACGGGGACAGCACAACAGAGGGCGGCGACCTTGGGGCCAAGGTCAGGCTCAGGAACATGGCAACGGGAGGAGCCTGGGGATTCCACATGATGGGGGCCTGGGAAAGACTGTTCCCGCCACCTCGAAGGGCACCTTCCTCTCGGGGCCTCAGTTTCCTCATTAGGAAATGAAGATGGAGCTCTGACAGGCTATCACCAAATGTGGCTGCTGGGCTGCAGCACAGATCCCCAGCCCCCGCGTGGCCTGGGCTGCAGGGCGAGAAGGGAGCATTTGTTCCTGATGTGGGCATTACCTCTATGGACCACTTTTGGCCAGGCACAGTGGCTCAAGCCTGTAATCCCAGCACTGTGGGAGGCCGAGGTGGGTGGATCACGAGGTCAGGAGTTCGAGACCAGCCTAGCCAATATGGTGAAACCCTGTCTCTACCACAAGTACAAAAATTAGTAAGTGTGGTGGTGTGTGCCTGTAGTCTCAGCTACTGGGAAGGCTGAGGCAGGAGAATGGCTTGAACTCAGGAGGCAGAGGTTGTAGTGAGCAGAAGTCATGCCACTGCACTCCAGCCTGGGCAACAGAGCAGGACTCCGTCTCAAAAAAAAAAAAAAAAAAAAAGGAACCACTTTTAAGTCCTATATGTCTGGGGGCCTGAGAGCCTCGTAACAATCACATGGGAAATTTCATTTGCATGTACAGTTTTGGGGGCACCAGTTCATGGCTTTCCCAGATCCTCCAAGGGGCGCATGGCCTTCCAGGCTCAGACCACACCCCGTAAGCCAGAGTGGACGGAGCTCTTGGAGGAGACACTGGGTCCCTGCACCTGCACATGCCCATGCACAGGTCTCACAGGGACACAGCTAGACCTGCCCACATGGGGACCTCTGAGCCCAGGAAGTGGCTTGCTACCTCGGCTCCGAACCACAGCTGGCCGGCCAGGTTGTCGTGCCGGATCTCCTCAGGGAACTTGACGCAGAAATCCCTCGGGGCACGGTCCTGGGGGATGCACTCATCCATGATCTGGTTAATGATGTTCAGTACGTTGTCCTGAAACAGGAGAAAGACAGGAGAAAGTGCGCCAATCACTGTGTCCGGCCAGCGGCTGCCATGTCCTGAGACAGGAGAAAGACAGGAAAAAGTGCCCCAATCACTGTGTCCAGCCAGCGGCTGCCATGTCCTGAGACAGGAGAAAGACAGGAGAAGGTGCCCCAATCACTGTGTCCAGCCAGTGGCTGCCATGTCCTGAGACAGGAGAAAGGAGAAAGTGCGCCAATCACTGTGTCCAGCCAGCGGCTGCCATGTCCTGAGACAGGAGAAAGACAGGAGAAGGTGCCCCAATCACTGTGTCCAGCCAGTGGCTGCCATGTCCTGAGACAGGAGAAAGGAGAAAGTGCGCCAATCACTGTGTCCAGCCAGCGGCTGCCATGTCCTGAGACAGGAGAAAGACAGGAGAAAGTGCCCCAATCACTGTGTCCAGCCAGCGGCTGCCATGCACTGCCAGAAAACAGGCACCACCAGAAAACATGCACCACAGTAAAACACACACCACAGTAAAACACGCACCACAGTAAAACACGCACTGCCAGAAAACACGCACCATGGGAAAACAGACATTGATGGAAAACACGCACCTCAGGAAAACACGCATTGCCCAAAAACACACACAGTGGGAAGACACAACGCCAGAAAACACACACCACCAGAAAACAAGCACCGCGGGAGGACACACACTGCCAGAAGATACACACTGCCCGAAAACACGCACTGTGGGAAGACACAACGCCAGAAAACACGCACCACAGGAAAACACTCACTGTCAGAAAACACACACCACCGGAAAACAAGCACCGCGGGAGGACACGCACCACCAGAAGATACGCACTGCCCGAAAACACACACTGCTGGAAAACCCGCATGGTGCATGTTACTGTTTTTTAGGATTATTAAAGAGATAGAGGAGGCTGGGCACGTGGCTCATGCCTGTAATCCCAGCACCTTGGGAGACCAAGGCAGGTGGATCAGCTGAGGTCAGGAGTTTGAGACCAGCCTGACCAATATGGTGAAACCCCAACTCTACTAAAAATACAAAACTTAGCCAGGTGTGGTGGTGCACGCCTGTAATCCCAGCTACTCAGGAGGCTGAGGCAGGAGAATTGCTTGACCCCCCAGGAGGTGGAGGTTTCAATGAGCCGAGATCGAGCCATTGCACTCCATCCAGCCTGGGCAACAAGAGCAAGACTCCATCTCAAAAAAAAAAGTGACAGAGGAACAAATCCATGCTTGCTAAACAACTGCTACAAAAAGTCTGTGGGGATCGCTCCTGCGAAGGGCCCTCGCCATCTTGAGCTTGAGCCCATACACGTTTCTCCTCTCCTGGAGGCTGTTGAGCTAAGGGAAAGGAGGAAATCTGGTTGCACTGATTTTATAAACATCAATCTTTGCCTCTGACATTTGCAACAGAATGGCTGAGCTCAGGCCTTGTGGTCTAACGAGACATTGTATGGTTAGACATTGTGTGCCTCCTCGTTCCTTCTCTGCACCATAACTCTATGACTTTGTTTACCTCTGCTAACTCAATCATATTGTTTATAATCCTATATGAATAGGCAAGGTTAGAATGACATTTGGAAAGGTCCAGCTATACCTTGTTAACGATCTTACCTGCTTGCTTAACTGATTTTAGAAAAACACATGTTTAGATTTATGACCCCCTTTTTGCAAACTTTATTGTCCCTTTGCTGTACACCCTTTGATTAAGAGTCACACTTTCTGTACCCCTTTTCTTGTGATTTATATTCTTGATTTTATTTCAAGATACAATAGAATGTATGTCACTCCTCAAACACTGAAAGGTATATAACCTGTAGTTTGCACAAATAAACTTGCTGTCTTGGCACTTGCTGCTCCAGCATTGCCTGGCAGTCCTCCAGACCCCACTCTCTATCTATCTTTTCTTCCATGCACTCCCTCTTCCAGGTTAAGAACACTTGAGTGGGGCTCAGGCTCTCGGCTGGTCGGAAGCCCCCCGGCAAACATGCCGGACCCCCACAAAAGTCCAAGCATTCTAGAAGCATCCAGTAAAGACTCTGGAGTTCTTGCACCTGGCCACGCCTATCTGTTCCCGGGCAATGTCCGGGGAGCCTTCCACGCTGCTGTGTGGATTCCACCCACCCTTTCTATGGCTGCCCCAGCGTCCTCATGGGAGGACAGCCTCCTCCTCTGTTGACCAACACCCACGCTCCCTGCAGCCATGAAACAGTGACTGCCCAGAGCATCTCTTTCTCTGGACACCTGTACACATTTTCCTCAAGACAGATCTCCAGAAATGGAACTGCTAGGCTGGCAGACACACATGAAAATGTGATGTTCACTGCCAACTTGCGTGTTGCTTTTATTTATTGGGATTACAAGCCTGTGCCCTCTGAGGTCTCCACAACAGTCAGGCAGCAGAGTGACGTCAGAGAGACTCTAAATGACACCCTCCACAGAACACACTCCACGGCCTGTCCTGCAATAGGCCGGCGTCCCCTGCGTGAGTAAAAGGGGCCTCAGCACCAGCAACCACAGGATTCATGGGCTCAGATGGACTCAGCTGCTGGGGAGCTGCGAAGCGCTCATCTTCCTGGAAGCTCAGTGCACTCCTCTGCAGAGTCACGGGCACAGACCGTGTCTTAGGGTCAGAAGAGTACAGTTATGTCCAGGCCAGGCAAAGCCAGGTGGCGTCCTCTCCCACCTCCTCTGGAAACAGCAGTAAGTCAGTCCACACCAGAAGGGGTGCTGCTTTCACAACGTGGAGACCCTGACTCCGCCTCTCGTTGCTGTTCAACCAGGGACGGGTCACTTCACCTCTCTGGTCAGCCAGGTCCCCTTCTGTAAGCTTCACTGTGCAGCGACTTCTGGCTTTTTGTTTATTTCTGGAGACAGGGTCTGGCTTTGTCCCTCAGGCTGGAGTGACCTGGTGCAGTCATAGCTAACGACAGCCTCAAACTCTGGGCCCCAGCCACCCTCCAGCCTCAGCCTCCTGAGCGGCTAGGATTACAGGAGTAAGCCAGCATGCCTGGAAGCAGCTTCTATTTTAAAGACTCTTTAAAATTATTTTACTTTATTTCCTTATGTTCAAAATATAAAGTATATCAGACTGTTTTGAACACTTTGTATATATGAGGGAAACAAGCCCATTTTTTTAAATCTTAAATTGCATTCCATCCTTTTCTGTAAACTTCTCCTATTCTTTAAATACTGACTATTCATTCTGTAGATTACAAAGACACTGGAAGCTTAACTTGTGCCTTCAACTTGTTAAATATGAAATCGATCCACCACGGAAAGGTGGAGAAGGAGGGAAAACGTCCTGGGGAAGTGCAGCTGCAGGTGGGCGCGTTTCCTTCCATTCTCATCCTCCGAGGGCTGGTTTCAGCCAAAACTGCGATGATCCATGTACACGCTGTTGGGTTCTGCTGCTGCTGCACGTTGTATCTGTCACAAATCCAACTTCTGATGGACGGCGACACGAATCCCAGCATATGGACCATCCTGTTAACTCACTCCCTCCTCTACTGGTGGGCACCGACGCTGTGTCTAATTCTCCACCTCCACGTAATCTGCACCCACCACTGTGGGGCACGAGGCCCCGATCGTGGATTACCTCCTTAGGGCCCAGTGGTGGCTAGAAATGGAATCACAACATCAAAAGTGCAGTGTAGTTCCAGGCTCTGCGGTGCTGACAATGGCTTTCCAGAAAGAGTACACCATGGACACTCTCTCCCTTGGCAGTTTTCAATCTCGACCATCCCTCCTTTCTGCCCTCCAAGGCTTGACTTATTCTTCTTAGGAAGACGATCTGAAGCGTCGCTGTGAGTGGGGAAGCATGACCCTTCTCATGCGAGAAACCAGTGCACTAAACTCTGAAGGGAATTCTGCAGAGTAAGAAAAATGTTGTCTTTTTCATATGAAAACTAAAATTCAACCAACAGGTGGTACCACTGTTGCTTCTTTTTAAAAGATATTCTGGGTAGGAAGGTCCTTGCTCATAATTCAACAAACAAATGGGCAAACAACGGCAATCATAGCAACAGACGGTGCACGGTAAACACCGGCTGCGCTGAAGCGGCAGCCACATGCCACGGCTTGTCTAAGGCTGAGGAGTCTCTAGTGGCCATGCTTGGATTCACTGCCCACCCTGCCTGGTCTGCCAGAATGTCAGCTGCCTGAGGGAAAGGCCTCTGTTACTCACTGATGAGTCTCCAGTGCCTAGAACGGTCCCTCACACACAGCATGTTGCAACAAACACTTGCTAGGACTTCTAACTCCAGCCAAAAGGGAGTAATAGGAACCCAGTGTACCCTGCTCTCGGCAACAACAGTGATTCCCAGGGCACTGGGCATCAGGCCACAAAGGACAGTGATCGCCAAGAGGCAGGAAATAAAGAAGGTGAGCCCACCACTACCCCGGCTCACCGCCGTGAGGAAAGTTTCACATCACGGAACAGGGAACGGGAACTCGGGTGGAACCAAGGCAGTTGGGACTCAGAGGGCAGGAGGCAGAGAAGAGAGAGCTGCCCAGAGAGAACTCTGGAGATCTGGGGAGGGTCGCAAGGGTGCAGCGGAGCTTTCTCCCTGAAGCTGCAATCAGGGAGAAATGTAAACCACGAAATGCCTAAATTAGCAGCGGAGGGCTGATCAGCACGTGCCTGTGGGGAGACGAGGTAAGGCCAGGAAGAGACACACCTGAAGGATTCGAGGGAGCAGTGGCAAGGGCCCTCCAGGAGGCCGGAGGAGCAGACGTGCTCACAACCCACAAAGCACTGAGTACAGTACCCAAAGCGCCTTGCCTCCTCCATGTGAACAGCAGTTAACTCCAGACTAAACACAGCTCTGGTCCTGCCTAACACCTTAAAGAAGACCCAAAGGAGTACACCATTTCTAAGTAAACTGCGTCACGGAACAACCAAAGATACCAGTGATGCAGAAATAGCCCCCAGCAGGGCGAAATTTACCACGTCAGGTACCCAACAAAAAAATCACCAAGCTTGCGAAGAATGAAGAAAA